CTAAATAGTAGGATCCGTATTAAAAGGACCCCAGAATAAGCCTAATTTTCGGAAACTCCCATATGAACCCCCGCTGATCGCCCGAATAGCCTCGGACCCACAACCTCTCTGAACCCGAAACCCCAACCCTAAACGTCTTGAGGTTTTGAGTTTAGCGTTTAAGCTTTGGCATAAAGTGTCCACCATGAAGCCGCACCTTCGCCTGGTCGAAAAAGCTTCCAAACATGCCTGGGCCATCAAAAAACAACGGCTACAGAGACCCTCAGCCAGAGAATCGTCCCCGAAGACAAGAAGGGGACCCTTAATATAGCTATTATATACCCATTATATAGCCCATTATAGGGTAGGGGTCCCCAGTAAGCCAAACCGGACAGGGAACCCTTACTTCAGGGACGACACTTCAACCACTTTCGCAAAAACTTGAGAGAGGAGACAGGGCTCTCGCTTTGGGGGCATTGGTGCGATGACGTGCAAGCGCCCAGACTTGATGTGATGAGTGCAAAAGATGGGTAGCGCTTTAAGGCGAAGAATCCTCTGCAGGAAGCCACGACACCTCTTTGAGACCTGGGTATCCACGGCCCCACAGCAACATCTTCAATCGAAGATCTCTGTTGAATCCTCAATCCGTCGAAGCTGACTTAGCGACACAGCTGGTTTCTGGATTGTGTTTCCTGAGTGGATCATGGCGATGGTGAAGACCACCGCGACGATTGAAAAAATATGATGATAAGGATGAGCATGAAATCACCATCATCGACGACGGCGGCGACGATGATAGTGATTATTCTGAAGATTGCGATGCGCGCGCTGATGCTGCCAGTTGTCTGCGGTGAACAGGGTGCGCGCTGTTTGCCTTCGGCTCCGGTTTCGGATTACTACCTTAACCTACCAAAACCTACTTTTTTGTAGGAACCCTATAAGTTCCATATTCGGGTTTACAATAAGAACCTACAAAAAAGTGGGTTTTGGTAGTTTAAGGTAAACCCTAAACCCTAAACCCCAAACCCCGTCATCCGAGGAGAAGACTGCCAGGCGGACTGGCGACCTGAGGGTCGAGCAAGATTGCTGTTCAGGGCTCTTTTAGGGTTCAGGGTTTAGGGTTTGGGGTTTCGGGTGTTCGAATCACCACTAAATGTTTTCCATACATTCAACAGTAAATCCGAATTCAGATTTAGCTGCCAAGGCCTGCACTGTCTTAACCATCAGCTCTAAAGATTGAAGCGCTAGATTGTGAATTCTTAGGGCTGGTTTGGGTTTTGTAGGGATCCTCATGAGGGAATCTCGGCATTCATTGCATGAATTTCTCTGAAGGCGCTCGAAACTTCAGCGATCCATGTGATGCAAATTCCGGAACCCCGCAGGAATGCTCATGACGCCTTGCTGTAGCTCTGATCCTACCTCATGGGGCCTTATGACGTATCTCCACTAGTAACCCATACAGTACCCTGAATAGTGACAGCGAACCTGCCGCAGCCCAGCAGGGATCCGAAACAACTCTCAAGTCGTGCCCGAACTTCACCAGGGGCACTCCGCCGCTGAATGAACGGAACCCTTAACACTCTTGGGGTTTAGAGTTTAGGGTTTGGGCTTTTTGAGGGTTTACGGTTTGGGGCTTGGTTTTGTCTTAGGGTTTACGAAGTTTAGGGTGTAGGATTTAGGGTTTACAAGACAGAGAAACCCACGGGTTTCGGGTGTAGGGTTTTGGGCTCCCAACACCCGTGAGACATGAGACCGAACGCTGAACATGCTACGAAGCCTCGCACATAGCAAAGAAACCAGCATACCGAAAACACAAATAGACTCAATGTCATGTCAAGAGGACTAGCCCTCAAAAACCTTACAGTTTAGCTGCCGAGCAACTTTGATGACAAACATGGCTAGAGACAAATATGCGATTGCACACATGCACACATGGTGACTTCGGTGCCCATTATACCATAATTAAAATATGGAACCCCCAAAATAGTACAGGTAATCGTTTAAGGCAAGGCTCCTACGTTAATAAATTCTTACAAGGATGCCGGTGGATCCCAGCCCCCCGGGGGCCCTGCCCCGTCATCCGACTTCTTTGCAGCACCAGTGCTCGCACGTTTCTGCAGAAGGCGGGGTGCATCGCCGGAGTTAGGGTCTTGTTTGCGGACCCTTCCTTAGAAGGGGCCCCCAGCCTGTAATAGTGGTATAATAGGAATATAATAGGGCCCTAATATAATCCTTATAGTCACTATTACAGGGTGGGGGCAGCTTCTAGACCCTTCCCCTCAAAAAAGAATCTCGGGTGCAGGGTTTTGGGGCTTGGGGGATGGCATGGTTCAGGATTTTGGGGCTCTGGGTTCAGGATTTCAAGTCCTGGATAAGCTCGTGTGAAGGTTCTTCGAAGGTCGGAGTCTTGGCCAAAGTTCCTCAGAACCCTGAAATTCTCGAGTCGCGATACATTTCCAAAAATCTCATGTCAAGTGCCTAATTTACTTATCCCCCCACCCTCACATCCCGCCCCGAAGCCCCTAAACCGAACCTCGAACTCTATCTGCAACCCCGTTAAACGTTGAAAGAAGGGGTCCACCTGCGATGCGCCGAAGCTGGAAACCAGCGGCATGCCGCCTGAGCAAGACAACAGAAGGTTCGGGTCAAGGTTTGGGGTTCCTACTATTACTAGGTGTTTTTGTAACGAAATGCAACAACTTCATCCCTGAACCCCAGGAGAAAGGAGTCAGACGGTGGCAAAGAAAGCGTTGCAATTCTGGCCTGGAAGGGGCGCACCCATCCCACGTGGATAGGAGGCACTCTCCTGAACATTGGACATGCAAGGATTCAGAATTAAGGGTTTAAGGTATTGGGTATAGGGTTTAGGGTTTGGGGTTTGGAGTTGGCCCGCGAAACCATGCCGGAAGCTCGGAGCAAGTCTTAAACTTCAACATCCAATACCGACAGCCCAAAACATCCCCAAACCCTACACTCTACAACCTGCGAACCGGCGGAGCCCCAAAGAAAACAACCTAAGCAACCCTAAACGGCGCTTGCACTCGCTTCTCAGCACTTTCAGTTGCCAATCGCTCCTTGGCCGGCGCTGGCCTGCAGCATGGATGACTGAGGGTCTGATTTATGGCTTTCCCGAAACACTAAACCCTAAACCCGAAACCCCAAACCCGAAACCCCTAAACCCTAAACCCGAAACCTCTACATCCCAAACCCAAAACCCCTAAACCCCTATGAACCCGAAGCCCTTTACCTCCAAACCCGAAACTCCCCCAAACCCCTAAACCCCAAACCAACCCTACTTGGAGGATCATGGGACTTAGTAAATAAGGTTATAAGTACCATAATTGGGGTTATAAATATCTATAAGTAGAGTTACCCTAATTATAAGTCTAGTTACTAAGTCCCATGATCCTTTAAGTAGGGCTGGGGTTCCAAGATGTAGGGCTCCGGATCTGACACTGTAAGGCCTACGGTATGGCAGAAGTTTTTAAGGATTTGCTGTTCTGCTGGGGTTTCGGGTTTAGCGCTTAGGGGGTTTAGGGTTTCGGGGGTTTTGGTTTAGGGTTTGGGGTTTAGGGTTTCCTTCCCAGTGTGACCGTGTCATTATGTGGGAAATTCAATGAGGAATCTAGACCGTATATTGACATAAGGACCCCGAACAAAGGTTCTCAAATCACTTGACACAAACGTTTGAAAGAGTTTTAACTGTAAACTCATGCGTGCTCACGAATCGTTAAGAAAAATCACGCGTCTCATCCACAACGGCTCGCCTCGCAGCCGCCCTTGCGGCAGCGGCCTTGAAATCACAGGACCAGAAACAAAAAGCGGTGTCGGGGTGGGGAAGGGTAGGGATTTGTGCTTTGCAGCTTTTGAAGCTTTCACGGTTCACGGCTTTTGATTTAAATTCAGGATACACGTCTTCGCCGGTGGGTTGCAGGGCTGGGCTGGGCCCCTGGCAGCTTCATCAGCCTTCTTCTTCCTGGAGATGTGCTTTGGCTTTCAAAGTAAGTTATGGTTTAGGGTTTAGGGCTTAGGGTTTAGGGTTGAGGGTTTAGGGTTTAGGGTTCAGGGTTGAGGGTTTAGGGCTTAGCGCTCAAAATTGCACGGTTTGGGTCTTTCGGCTCTGCCCTTCATGATGCAAACCGTAATATTCAGGGGGGGTCGGGAGTTAGGGCTCGGATCAGGCGTAGTAGCAGGGTCCCTACCAGGGTTGTTGGGTCTTGATAGTAAACATATTGAGGGACTGCCTAACCCCCCCAAAGTAGATACACTACTGGCTCAACACCTCCAAAAGGCTATAATTCTACATACTCTTGGGTCCAGGTACTTACAGTAACTAGTCCCAAAAGAGTGATACTAGCATATACCCCAAAACCTGGTGATACTCGTAGTAAGTAGATTTGCCCGAGCCCTATGTTGTAGCTTCGCAGCTTTTTGCCAAGGCGACCGACAACCTCTTCATAACGCAGAGCCCAATACCCCTTAATTAAGGAATGTAGCCTAAATCATAATATGAATCCCCTTATATATATATATATATATATATATATATATATATATACTTTTTTTAAGGTATATTTCTTAATTAAAAAGATATATTGGGGTCTCTGGGGTTTAGACTTTCGGGTCTCCGGAATCTTTAAAGTTTAAAACCCCAAAACCTTAAAACGTCGAACCGGGGTATTGGGCTCTCTAGGGTTTAGGGTTTAGGGTTTAGGGTTTAGGGTTTAGGGTTTAGGGTTTAGGGTTTAGGGTTTAGGGTTTAGGGTTTAGGGTTTGGGCAGGGCCACGGCCCGACCCCCCTTGACGTTGACTACGCGCGGGCATCTTTACTTTTGGGGGGCAAACTCCCGGCATCGATGCCGGCATTGGGGACGGTTTAGGGTTGAGGGCTTAGGGTCCACAATCAAGTAGGGCTTGATTGCGGATACCATCATACCCTCTCACCACAACCCTAGCACCCTAGAGGGTTTATGATCCCTGGAGAACTGTGTTGCTTTTCGTGCCGAGGTCGGCTGTCTAAGCTACGTCGCGGGAGCCAAGATCACCATGAAGCGGTGGAAGGTGCCCACCTCTTCGGTTCAGGGTTGAGGGTTTAGGGTTTCGAGTCCAGGGTTTATGTACGGTTGGTCTAGGGTTTAGGGTTTGGGGTTTTCGGTTTAGGGCTTCATGTAACATTTCGATACCCCACCGATCTCGTTCAATATGGAGTTTACACTGGATTTTTGCAAGGCAAATGTCAACTACCTATCCAAGAACTCTGCCAGCAAACCCCTCTTGCCACCTCAAGCACAGTAGCTTTAATATCCATTGCACGAAAGCTTCTTGACATGATTTCTGCACCTTCGGCTCCCTTCCAGCCTCGCAAACCTTTTTTCTGCGAAGCATTCTATGCAAAGCCTGACGCAGTCAAAACCTGTCACTGGTTTCTGAAACAGCTTAAGCCAAGTGTGCCGTCAAGCCAGAAGCTCCAAGGCATAGTGAATGTGCATGAAACTGAAGAGAAGTAACGCACCCAAGCCCTGAACCCTACTCTTCATCACCTTCCCACCCTTCCTACGGTTGATGGACAGAATCCTGCATTACCCATACGAAGGAATATACCATAATTCCCATAGTTTAGGGTCCTTGGGATAATGCAGGATTTTGTCCATCAACAGTACCACCGTGCTCCTGCACTTGAGCAATCGCTCTCCTCCGAACGACCGCGAATACTCCATTTAGTACAGCTTTGGTCAGGAGCGCTCAACAATGATACTGCTGATGGACAAAATCCTGCATGACCCTGAGGACTTTAAACTATGGGAACTATGGTATATTCCTTATAATGGGTAATGCAGGATTTTGTCCATCAACAGTATTGCTAAAAAAAATCCGACCATGTCCGAGCCCTACATTGCTTCTGCTCCGTCTACTAGACTACCGGCTACTCGTCATGACCATCAAAGACCGCAACTTCTAAACTCTAAGAGACCCTGAACCCTAAACCCTAAACCCCGACCCCGAAGCTCCAAACCCCCAGCCCTAAGCCCTAAGCACGAAGCGCCAAGCACGTACGTAGCCCTAAACCGTATAGAGAGCTCCGCGATAAATGCCCCTGTGACCAAACCAGAAACACTACGTTACATGACCCCCTTGGGTTTATGTTGTAGACATGGGAAAATGATTCGCTATCCTAAATAGCCCCCGAAGTTTCTGTGTAGACATGAGAACATGATTCCGAAGGAACTCCCAGATGAGTCAGGGCCTCGTCTGCAGGGCGGCCGGCGTAAAACCTGGGAAAATCGCCGGAAGTCTCGAGGACCTACGTTCAAGGGTTTCAGGCTTCGGGGAAGCTGTAACATGGGTATATTTATAAAGTATACCATTATAGAATAAGGACCCCTAAACCCTTTTGACTTCTGGAGCGTTGTCAAGTCAGGTACAACAACGTGTTCGCAAATATTCCATAACAGCGAAGTTATCTCTGCTTGGCATAGGTATTACTGGTACTCTGGGTATCTCCAAATCCGTCTCGTGGTTGTAGTATGTGTCCAAAAGCCACGATAAGACATGCTGTCGCTTCCTGCTGTCTGATAAGGCTGATCGGGTTGGCTGAATCATGTTGAAACCTACCATGCTCTGACTTGAATACAACGTGCACTGTTGTCCACTTCAGCTTGCAAGCAGGTTTCAAGTGAAGCGAAACTGGTAGTGGAAAAAACCCACAGTTTCAGCAGGTTCTGAAGCATCGTCCCATCAAAGGATGGGCAGCAGCAGACTGCATGGGCGCCTCATCTAAGAAATGCCCAAGGCGCATTTTGCTAATGATGGTCTGAATGGATGCTTTGCAAGTATCAGTGCTCATGGCTGATACTTTCACAGAGCAGTCTCAACTACCACAAAAACACAGAAGCCCCACACAGCCGTAAACGTAAACAGAACTCCGAAACCCAAAGCATGTAAAAAGCACTCTAGAAAAACCCTTGAAATCCTTACCCCCCCCCCCCGCCAAACAAGCGAGCAATCGACACCCTCAAATCGCAGGGGGCCTACAGCATCATAAGATCCACTTCAAGGCCCCTCAGCGTCCGGCGGGTTCTCGCGGATCTCGCAGGATGCACCATGGCTGCGGCAGATCTGGGCGGCTGCCTCCAAAAATTGGACGTAGAGCTGATAGGAATTCAGGCTTGTTTAGGCCATTCTTGTAGCTTTAAAGCTGTTACGGAATATTCAAGACTTTCAGGGCTCATAGATTGTTCAGTGCTTCCGGTCGGTCTTCTTTGGGCCTTAGGGCTGGGTTTTGGGGTTTTTGGAGCTTTAGGGCTTCAGGGCGGAGCGAGGGGGTTTGAGACGGTGTTGGGGCTTCGAACCCAGGGTTTCGGAAGGGTTGATGATATAAATCCTGCATGCCTCATAATCAGGTATATGCCATAATTACCATAGTTCAGGGTCCTTAAGGTCATGCAGGATTTATATCATCAACCGAAGCAAGGCCTCCGCTTCCTGGCGGAAGAAGGTGGCAAAGACCTGGGCGCGATGGGGTTTAGGGTTTAAGGGGCTTAGGGCTTTAGGAGTTTAGGGCTTTAGGGTTTTAGGGGTTTAGGGTTTTGGGTTTAGGGCTTTAGGGCTTTAGGGGTTTTTGGGTTAGGGTTTGGGGTTTAGGCAGTCAGGGCTGGGATCGAAAGAGCTCCGGATTTAGGCTCCCAATTGCTCAAGGCTGCTAGGGTTTTAGAAGCCGTTACCAGAAGCGCTGTAAAGAGTGTAGATGGATTTCGGCTACAGGGTGCAGAGAGTGTTCAGGGTTTGGGGGTTCAGGACTCAAAGCTTATCCTCAGAGTTAGCCAGCTCGGCGGGCTCTCAATCTTGTCTGGGTCGACGTGCCTCTGCAAGACTAGTTCGTGGTTGGGATCGGATTAAAAATGTGCATCTGTTCATTCCTTATTGGGTTCAAGTACCCATAAAAATACAAAAAGATACCCATTTTTATTCCTTATTGGGTTCAAGTACCCCTAAAAATGTAAAATGTTACCCAGCTATGACAAAGAAGAGGTCAGAAGCAAAAGGTCCTGACCGACTCCTTGAAATACACCCCCAAGCCGCAATGAGCCCTAAACCCTAAACCCTAAACCCCTAAACCCTAAACCCCTAAACCCTAAACCCCTAAAGCCTAAACCCTAAACCCTAAGCCGCAAATGAGCCACGGCCCCACGGTCCGGACTGCAAGGGCATGGATAGCGTTGGACTGCCCCAAACCGAAAATTCTCAGCTGAAGGGCCAAAAATGAAGATAGCACAAGGAGGCCCAGAAAACTTAGTAAGTAGGCCATAAATAGTTATAAGCTGGGAGGCCTTACCTCTTCGATTGCTTAGAGGCCCAGGGGCTTAGTAAGCAGCCAATAAGCAGACTTATAAGCACCCCGACTAGACTTACTAAGTCCCCTGGGCCTCTAAGTGCTGGATCCAAAACCCAAACGCAGAACGGCACCACTCGTCCAAGGGACACATCTCGCACCCTTCACGCGGCTGCGAAGGACGTTCTCGAGGATGGGTAGCCATGGCCCCCCATTCGTCACCTGCAGAGAAGGCATTGCCCTAAACCCTAAACCCTAAAACCTGAAGCCCGTAAACCCTAAACCCTAACATCCCTAAATGCCAAACTCACTCCCTGAACCCGGGAACCTAAAACCCTAAACCCTGCCTTGACCATCGTGTTTTGGGCTTGGTTTCGGCCCTTCAGCTCGGGCTTGAGCCCGGCATTCTACACCTTTGCAAATTTCTTGCCTAAGGCCTGCCTGTACCCGAAAAGACCTACCCTTTTAGGGTTCCTTATTATGGTTTCTGTTGGTAGATCTCTTCGGCTACAGGTGGGGCCTAAACCCCAAAGTTTAGGGTGTAGGGCTTAGGGCCCAAATGGCCAAGCCGTCGCGGATGAAGCCCGAAGCCCAAACCCTCAATCCCCCATCCCAAACCCAAAACCGTAGCTGGCCCTAATCTGGGGCTCTGGGCGAGAAAGCAACCTCAAGGCTTATCGGACCGTCTTCAAGCTTGGCCTTACCCTGTACGGGGTTTTCCTAACATGGGGGACCCAGATATGGTACCCTCAATAGTAGGATCCTTATGATAAGGACCCCCAAAAAGGGTACCCCCCTATTTTCGGAAACCCTAAACCCTTATAGAGCCCTTTAAAGGAACCCTTATAGTACCCTTAAAGTAACCCTTTAAAGGACCCCCGAATAAAGTACCCCTATTTTCGGAAACTCCCAGACTTTCCTCCCAAAGAGGCCTCCGGGTGAGCAGCGAGGATCAGGCCGGAGGGTGGCTGCGCCGACAGAACCAGGTCCTGCTAGAGCGAGGGCAATAAGGTTTAGGGTTCAGGGTTTAGGGTTTAGGGTTTGCCGTAGAGTGGCGCAGAAGCGGAATGATCTTGGATAGTGTCTTTTCGAGTGCGTCGTCATGTGACGACTGGCCGTTAAAGCCTGATTGTGGATGGCTCTCTCTTTTAATTCTCCCACCCACGCCGTTTAAGGCGGCCAAACCACCCAAACCTATTCCTTTTAGGGTTTAGCACCTAAACTCATTCCAAGGTTTCTCTCTCTTCAAACCGCAAACCGCAGGGCAAGGCAGGCAGGGCAGGCAGGAGGGCAGAGCAGAGCAGGGCCAGAACAGGCAGGGCAGGGCAGGCAGGGCAGGGCCTTGGAACCTGGTCGCTGGAGGCTCCGGGGCCCCCTCTGGGGGGTCCCTTTTTGGAGGGGGCCCAAAAGGCAAGGTCCCAGGTGAAGGGGGTGCGTTTAGGGTAATTACTTTGTAAGGGACCAGTACTGGTCCCGTGGAGAACCTGCTCCGGTACCGGGCCTAACGTGGGTGCTACAGTCGGGCAAGCGTATTGGGTCGCTCTGCGCCATCGAGGGTTTGGGGTATAGGGTTTAGGGTGCAGGGTTTAGGGTTTGGGGCATAGGGTTTCGGGTTTAGGGTTTGGGATATAGGGTTTAGGGTTGAGGGTTTGGGGTTTAGGGTTCAGGTTCAGGATTTCGGTGCCCAGCCCTTGCGAAGCACACCATTCTGTGGGTCAAGATGAGGCCCTTTAAAGGGTCTGGTAAGGGATGGTTTGAGGAACCCACAAAAACATAACAATACAACTCACTCAGGCCCCCATACTTGGGATTTAAAGGCCTAGGGCAGTTTGGGCCTCAGATCCACAGTGCATTTTCCATAGTCTCCTGAACTCCCGTTGTGTTCAACCCTACACCATATGCTTTAGGGTTGAGGGTTTAGGGCATAGACTATGCCATAGACCTTAAACCACAGGCTACGAACACAAAGCTTAGAGACCTTGAGCTTTACGGCTTGGGGCTTTAGAGTTGAGCGGTGAGTCTCGGGCGTGGGGTTTGAAGATACGCGAAAGGGAGCCCACCTTAAAGGGAAGTCCAGTTCAAAGGCGTGTCAAAATCCATTTTCTTGGTACCTCAAAAGGAACCCCTAGTTTAGAAGAAATACATCACAATAAAACTCAGAGCCAGTAAACACGCCTGAAAAAGCTCCACTCCTGAAGCCTCACTCCAGGACTCCACCAACCCAGCGATAAAGAAAAACATAACTCGTCCCGAAAACGGACCAAATCACCCAATAAGCCCTCCCTAAAGCATGGTTTGGCGGCAAATGTGCCCCAAACCCTGAACCCCAGACTCGCAAACGCAAAGCATTGTCTAACCTATGGTTTTTGGGTTCCCTTGGCTCTTTAGCTCCTTATTAAGTAGGGATTATCGTCACCCCTGGCTCCTTAGCTCCTCCAATATCAGTGGTTAGTTGTGCGAAAAGTTTCTGAATCTTCATGACACAGCCTGCTGCTTCAGCTCCAGGCGGATCCGGCCGCCAAAGGTGTGCTGGGCCCACTTCTCCTGAAGCACCGCCACGGTCCAGGGTCGGGGGTTAAGGTTGACGGCTCAGGGCTTAGGGCTTACGGTTCAGGGCTTGGGCTTTTAACTGGGCTTGAAGTTTGGGTGGGTGTAGCAGGTCTGACTTTATTAGGTGCTCCAAGTACGCAACACCCCCGCCCCCCCCCCCCCCCCACCCCGCCTGCCCCCACAGAAGAAGTGCTCACAACACCCCAAACCACCTACGACCGTCAAAACCACCTCAACCCCACAGATATCTCTCTGCACCCCAGACCCCTCAACCTCCAAACCTCTGATCCGATACAAACTCTAAGCCCCTAAAGCCTAAAGGGACAAAAGTGCATTCCGAAATCTTCCGGCGGCCGAGCTGCCCAAGCGCCCCACCAGAAGCTCTGCTCCCGCACATCGCAGCCTACGTGCTTCGGGCTTATGGGTTCGTGATTTGTGGCTTGCTTGTGGCTGGAGGTTAGGGTCAAGGAGTTCGGGTAGAAGGGTTTGGAGTTTAGGGGTTTACGGTTCCGAGTTTTGGACTTCGGGTGTGGAGGTTGGGATTCGGGCTTCGGTAGTTGGTTGAACCAGCTCCTCAAAGGGTGAATGCGTGAAGTTGAGGTTCGTCGAGGAAGCGGCGTAGGGCTTCAGGTTGAGGAAGTCCCGGTGTTTTGCTTTTTGGGCATTTCAACTGACCGCCCCTGGAGGACAAACTCCTTCAATACCTGTGGGTGTTGATTTTACTGCAATTCCGCAATACGGTTTTGATGTCACTATATATGATTGCAACTTGTAGCATACTCTGGGCTCCGAAGCTTAATACCAGAGCTTCTTCGCTTCGTGGCCGGGTTTAGGGTTGAGGGCCCTGAAGCGCAATGGCTCAGTTTTTAACCCCAAACTCTAAACCCTCCCTAAGCCTTCATAGACAAAGGCGTCCTGCGTCACTCGCAAAGGGCTGCAAGCCAACCCTAAACCCTAAACCCCTAAACCCTAAACCCTAAACCCTTTTTCCGGCATGGAAGCCCCACGAAGGTCCAGGCGAAGCTTTCCTGCACAGACTATATGCCACGCCCAAAGGCCCAAACTCAAAACCTCGAGCCCTAAACTCGAGATGGGTGGTTGTCAAAATTAGGGTCCGTTTTTGGGTACCGTAAATATTAGGTGCCGTATTATAATAGGAACCTAAAAGGGACCATAATTCTCACAACCACCCATAGAAGCCCGAAGCCCGACCACCCCAAACCCAGAAAGCTAGCCAGCTCGGGGCCTCGCACCTCTAGTGCCGTGGCGCCGCCTCTCAAAGGGATTTGGGAGTTTCCGAAAATAGGGTGTACATTATTTGGGGGTCCTTATAATAAGGATCCTACTATTTAGGGTACCATATTAGGGTCCCCTATTTTGGGAAACTCCCATTTGTGCCCAGGTTTGAGCTTTTGCAGATAGTGCGTTCACCTCCATAAATTCAGGGATGAAACACATTCACAACCTTCGTGAGCAAGCCATGAGATGTTGAGACCCAGAGTTCCAGTGGAGGGTTTTTAGTTTAGGGACAAGGGCTTAGGGCAGGCGGTAATATAGGGGCCTTAATAATTGGAATAGGGTTTTGGGGCCCATTATACTATGATCATAATAAGGAACCCCCACAAAAGTATTGGTAATTATTAAGGCCCCTCTATTAAACAGAAGGCTCATGCAACGATACGATATGCCAGCTATGGCGAAGCTATGGGCACCTCAGAGCAAACTTACGTATAGTGACCTGTTAGTAACCGCTTACAATAACCCCATGCATGCGAACATTATAGCCAACGTCTGTGGCGGTAGATATCAGCCTGCACTCCCACGGATTAGGGTCTAGGGTGCAGGGTTGAGGGTTTAGGGTTTAGGGCTGAGGCTTACACCTTTGCAGACTCCTGGTCCAACATCCCATAGCTCCAATCCTGAATCCGCCAACTCCTCCTCCCGGATTCAGGTCTGTTCATTTTTTCAAGTTTTGGATTGAGGGGATTTAGGATGTGAGCACATGGGTTCAGGATTTAAGGTTTTGGGCCTAGGATTGAGGGTTTTGGGGGCTCATTCGCGGGAGCGCCTGGGCGCAAGAACCTGCTAGCGAGGAACGGCAGCAGGTGTGGCGCCTGGGAAAACACAAGCCCCATTGAACCATGTAAAGACCCTAGTGCGGCTTGCAGTATTTTGCTGTGTTCTAGGTTGTTGGGGCCCCGCTCAGACCATGCAGAACACAATAGAATAGAATACAACGTACTGGAATGCGGGGAGGGGATAGGGATGTCCTTTCCACAGATCTTCAAATGTTCCTTCCTGACCGGCCTTTGAGGGGTCCCGCGTTTTGAGGTTTGGGTTTGGGGGGTTCAGCTTTGAGGTTCGGGATTGTGCATAGAGGCTCAAGGCTTTCCACGAATTTAGAAGGGTTCTAGACAGGTTTAGGGGGGGATTCGGAAGGTTCCCTAAACCCCAAGCCCCTAAACCCTAAAGCCAGAACCCCTAAACCCCAAGCCCCTAAACCCTAAACCTTGCTAAACCCTGAACCGAAAGCCTTAGGTTCTGGCCTCGAAGAAGTCGTGGCAGAAGGGTGCGGCCACGTGCAGGACGCCCGCTGCATCCAAGGGCAGCTGGGCCAGGAATCCCCAGGCCTGGCTCCATCGAAAGGTCGCCCAAAAGGTTTAGGGTTCAGGGTTTAGGATTTAAGGTTTAGGATTTAGGGTTTAGGATTTAGGGTTTAGGGTTCAGGGTTTAGGATTTAGGGTTTAGGATTTAGGGTTTAGGGTTCAGGGTTTAGGGTTTAGGATTTAAGGGTTTAGGATTTAAGGGTTTAGGGTTTAGGATTTAAGGGTTTAGGGTTCAGGTTTTTTTTCAACTCCTTTTTCCAGGGGGCGGCAGTCTGCAGCATCCTGGTTCAGGGTTTGGGGTTTAGGGTGTGTCTGGCGAGGTCGCGCGCTCGGGTGTGAACCGCGCGCTCGCGTTGCTTGTAAACCCACCCCGGCCACCCAAACTATACTCTATTAGGGTTTAAGGTTTTTTGATATGATTTTGCGTGTCGCTTTGGAAATGGCCTCCAGAAAAGCAGCAGGCATGGCTAAATCGACATTCGGCGGCTTTGGACGCCGGACATGCAAGAAATACAACGTGTATTGAAACTGGCGTCCAAAAAGGGATCGGGTAGTCTCGGCCCTTTTCGGGCCTTCGGCATCGCAGGGCCAGCTCGGCCCTCCAACTTTTTCGCTTGAATGAGTGCTCCCCCTTTTGGTGCTTTTGTGGGGTTCACCTCCTTTCGGCGGCCATGCAAGCCGGAAATGCAAGAAATCCAGAGAACCTTGGAAATGGCCTCAAGGTTTTTTTGATATGATTTTGCGCGTCGCTTTGGAAATGGCCTCAGAAAAGCAGCAGGCATGGCTAAATCGACAGTCGGCGGCTTTGGACGCCGGACATGCAAGAAATACAACGTGCTTTGAAACTGGCGTCCAAAAAAGGATCGGGTAGCCTCGGCCCTTGTCGGGCCTTCGGCATCGCAGGGCCAGCTCGGCCCTTCAAACTTTTCGCTTGAATGAGTGCTCGCCCTTTTGGTGCTTTTGTGGGGTTCACGTCCTTTCGGCGGCCATGCAAGCCGGAAATGCAAGAAATCCAGAGAAGCTTGGAAATGGCGTCTTCAAAAGGAGCGGGTAGGCAAATGACCCCATTTCGGCGGCCGTGGAAACCGAACATCCAAGAAATCCAAGAGGCCTTGGAAATGGTTTCCCGAACGACAAATTTGGTGCTTTTGTAAGGTTTTTCCTATTTGGGGGTTTTGGAGGCCAGAAATCCAACAAACATATGCGGCCTGGGCGTGGCCTCCAAAATTGGGGGGAACCAGGACCCAGGTCAGGGTCAGCCGGGTTAGGAGGCCAGGGGCCAGGGGGCCAGGGGGGTCAGCAGGCAGGTCAGGCAACCGGGCCCAGGGCCAGGGGGGGCAGGCAGGCGCCCTGGGACAGGGCTTGGTGTGCCCTATTCGAGGCTGGACGTTGTCGTAAGCAAGGCCAATAGCCGTTGGCCTGTCCAGGACAGGCGGTGAGGCTTTACCCTCACCTTTCCGTCTCTCTTTTCGAATGGGTGCTCGGGCTGTAAGCCCTTAATCGCGGAAATAGATATCGAACATTATCGAACCATACCGAATCTACTTGCCTGCGCATGAGAAACCATGTGGATAACATAGATATTTGGATACAGATACAGATATCGCGATACAGAACATAGAGTTACAAATATCAACAGTTACTATGACAGACATAGGACAGATGTCACGCTCCTGCAAGCCCTCCCAACCAGCAAGCAACGGCCCGCACACCGTAAAGTGAAGCCCGAAACCGCTGCAAATGTTGGTTGGGCCTGCGCCGTCCACCGCATCTGTTTGAATGAGAATGACGTCCATAGCGCCTGGAGGATGCGATGAGACGGCAACTTGGCTTAGATATGAAGTCCGGGTTTTTCGATTCAGTGCCCTCAAACTCTGCGTCGAGTGTCGGGTAGCACCATGCGCGGTCATAGCAATGTCACCTTTAGTCTGTAACTGTAGGCATGTGAGCAGATGGATAAGCATACAAATAAACGAGAAAAATAAAAAAAAAATGTACCTGAATGAAGCATGAATGTATATACAAGGGCCAAGTCCTCATTATGCCAAGCAGCTGCCCCACCGCATCCCCAACCCCAAGGTCAAGCCCGAAGCCAACACGAACGGTGGGCCTGCAACGTCCACCGGCTTCGCCTGAGACTTCGGGGAGTCCTTGTCCATTGCGACCTTTGGAGGGTGCGTCGCTCGGTCCACGCATCATCTAGCTTACTGCACGGTCCTGCAACAGATCGTGCGATCCGCAGTAAAAGTAGTCGCAGGCACCCTACTCCCAATTACCCCAGCTGACTCAACTGCGGCACGCTTGCAACAAGAGCTGCTTGACTGACTGGATCCTTGCGATGCCAGCCCTTCAGCGCAGCGAGGCTCTGACGCAGGTGAAGGGAGCCGAGGATACGCAGGCTTGAGCACACAGCTGCAGGCACCCAATAACCAATAAATTAGCTTCCTCCACTTTGCATCTCTAAAGGAGAAGTGGTGCTCGTCTTTGTCCTGCCTGAATGAGCATCAAAAACCCCATGCACAGCGCAAGGAGCTCGTGTCTTGCGTCGTGTGTCATGTCGTGTGTTGTGCCTGGAGTCGTGTCTCGCATTCTGTAAGCTCTGTAAGTTATGGAACTTTGAAAACTAACAAGCGATCATTGGAAATGCCGTGCACCCTGTGTCAAGTTGTCCCTGTAAGTCGGAATCTGAACATAAGTTCCGCGTGTCGTGTCGCGCGTGGCGAGTGCTCTCTTCGCGACGTCCGTTCCGCGTCTGCACTCGGCTTGATTTTTCCTATCCGGTTCGCTGAAAACTAGTTCATGTGCATAGGTGTGCATAGCAGCATAGCAACACCCGCACCTCTGCACGAGACCACAGCAAGCACAGAGCCAGGAACACAGTCGAGAAGCCCAGCAACACAAACGGCTACAGAAACGATGTTGCCTTTTCAACGCACATGCGCTGAGGCGGTATTACCACATGAAGTCCGGTGAAAAGAGTCCTGCAGTATACACTGCGATCAAGGTGGGCAAGGACGAGTTGCGCCGGGACCAGTTCCAGAGCACCTTGGCTATTTCACGCATGGGACCCAAGGTGTACATGGGAGTGAACTGCAAGTGCAAGCGGGATGCGGAGATATCGGCGGCCATGGGTTTCTTTGAAGACGAGGACAACCAGACATTGTTTAACAACCTGGAGCCTTCGCACAGGGGAGAAGCGAATAAAAAGGCACGGGATAAAGTGTCTTGTGCGCGCAAAGCGGCACAAGGGCAGGAAGCAGATAAGGCCAGTGACCAGGCCAGCGTGGCAGAGCCATCAACCGGCATATGTCCTCCGACTTCTGGCTAATTGTATTTGTTTCTTCTGGTAGCCTGCGAATGTCACTGGCCTGGTGGCCACGTCCGCGAAGGGTTCAAAGACCGAAGATGTGGCACACTCTAGCTTGCAGCATGTCGTTCGGGGTCTGTCGCTCGTCGGATGCGACCCCTCACTAAGTTTAGGATTTAAGGGTTTAGGGTTCAGGTTTTTGCTCAACTCCTTTTTCCAGGGGGCGGCAGTCTGCAGCATCCTAGTTCAGGATTTGGGGCTTAGGGTTTAGGGGTTTAGGGTTTAGGATTTAGGGTTGAAGGTTTAGGGCGATCCTACCGTGTAGGATAGAGGGCTGATTATAGGATTTGGGGCTTGGGGTTTGGGGTTAAGGGCTTGTAGCGCTTGTGGGGTCTAGGGTTCAGGGTTCAGGGTTTATAGCGCTTTCGAGGTTCAGGGTTCAGGATTCGTTCCAATCTCTGAAACCACAAAAATCACCAAAACATAATGCCGAAATCCTAATCAAAAACAACATGCAAAACAACACGAATAGGAAAGGTAACAACTGCATAAACCCTAAACCCTAAACAATAAGGACTATCTTTGGAAAGCAGAATAGGCAGGCCGCCCTAAACCCTAAATTCCTAAACCCTAAAACCCAAACCCTAAACCCTAAGCCCCAAACCCTAAACCCTAAGCCCCAAACCCTAAGCCCCAAACCCTAAACCCTAAGCCCCAAACCCTAAGCCCCAAACCCTAAACCCAAACCCTTAAATCCTAAGCCCTAAACTCTAAACCCTACAAAAGCCCGAAGCCTACAGCGAGGGAATTTTGGAGCCTCGAGGCTCTCCATGAAGCATCGGTAGGCACCATCCCGCCCATCCTTCCGAGGTTCTAGGGTTCAGGGTTTGGGGTTTTAGGGTTTGGGGGTTTAGGGGTTTAGGGTTTTGGGGTTTGGGGTTTGGGGTTTGGGGGTTGGTGTTTAAAGTTTAGGGTTTTGGGGTTTAGGGTTTGGGGGTTGGTGTTTAAAGTTTAGGGTTTTGGGGTTTAGGGTTTGGGGGTTTAGGGGTTTAGGGTTTTGGGGTTTAGGGTTTAGGGTCTAGGGTCTTGGCTCTGGGGTTTAAGGCTAGGGGTTTGGGGGTTTAGGGAGCGGCTAGGCTTTAGGCTCAAAGCCTTCAGGATATCGACTCCTCTGAGAAGTTGGTGCAGTTTTTGGCTTAAGGTTAAAAGCCTAGGGCGAGGGGTTTGGGTGGGGTGTAGGAACTTGGGCTCAGAATTTGCGGCTCATGCTTTTCGATGCTGTAAGACTTGTTTCTCGCAGGGGCTCGTGTAAACTGTGGTCATTCTTGCTCTCTTGCACTGCCGTCTGAACCGTGTTCTAGCAGGATATCGACACAGCCAGACTTGAAAGGGCAACCGGTTCACGAAAATGTCAGAACGACCACTGCATGCCGACAGCATATCTGTCGTTCGCATGCAGAGTTTGACGGTCCTTGGTGCTCTGCGACTTCTTCGCCAAGTCCATCGCCACAGCAAGGTCTGCCAAAGCTGTGCAGATGTTGGGACTGACACTAGAATTGATCCTGGGGTCGTTCGTTTCGGGCTCAATGCCGATACTTCCAAAGAACTAGAATCTTAAAGGGTGGAGGTTTATTTCGGTCCCTTTTTTCCCTAAACCCTAAACCCTAAATCCTAAACCCTAAACCCTTTTTGAACCTTAAACCCTGCTCTGCTTTGCGGCACAGAAAGCCGCCAACACCCTCCAGAGCCGAAGCACCGGGGGGCAGGTCGGGCGTCTGCACCGGCATGGAAACCGGCCGGGGAATGCCTCAAAGCGAGCGAGAGAGAGAGAGAGAGAGAGAGAGAGAGAGAGACTTCAACGCTCGCCGTTCAAGATGACGGGAGGGGTGGTCCAGCAGTTGATGCTAGAGAAACGTGGACTGTCACTGATTACGGTAAAGCGATAATCATCTTCATTGACACTGACATTTACATTTTTCATTGCACATCTCTCATGAAAGAAGGCTCGGTCACACCAAGGCCGCCAAGGCCCTTGCAGTCCAAGACACTTGGTGCTGCAAAGGGCGCTTGCTGAATCTGCACTCCTCACACCGAGGCACTGCATGATGCAGCTTCGACACAAATTTCATGTGGCAACGCTGCGACAGCCTACCCCCCAAATCCCTGAACCTCTGTACAAACCCCTTACCGGTATAAAACCCGTGAGACCCTAAACCCTTAACCCTAAGCCGAAGCCCAAACCCTCGGCCTGCCTGGCCGAGGCGGTGCGCCGTGTGGTGCCGCAGGTCTCCACAAATTCTGCACGGCGCCTGCTCTTAGGTCTTTCGGGGTTTAGAATTCGGGGCTTAACGGTTTCAGGGTTCAGAGGCGTCAGATTTAAGGGTTTAGAGTCTAGGGGTGTTTCGGGCTTAGGGGTTGAAACATTGAGCTTTAGGGCTTTAGCGGTTCAGGGTTTAGGGGTTTGAAGGGTTAGGATTTCGAGGTTTAGGGGTTAGGGATTGAAGGTTTGGGATTGAAGAGTTCAGGGTCTAGGATTCTACAAGTTCGCTAAGCATCACTTTAAGGGATACTGTTAGGGCTAGTAGAAGGCTACGAGAGCGAAAACGTCTACCATGAAGACTAGTTGTCGCCACATGGTCAGAAGCTGCTTTGCATGGTAGGTTTCGGGATTCAGAGCTGTAACCCTCCGCCCTTAAACCCTAAACCCCTAAACCCTAAACCCTTATTCCCCTAAACCCTAAACCCCTAAACCCTAAACCCCTAAACCCTAAACCCCTAAACCCCTAAACCCCTAACCCCTAAACCCCTAAACCCCAAACCCCTAAACCCGAAACCCCTAAACCCCTAAACCCCTAAACCCTATCTAAACCCGTCACTCCGAGGCCCTCCACCTGAAATAACGACGGGACCCGGCGCTCGTAACACGCACTGCTGCGGCCTCGGTGGCGCTACCGCCATGCCGTCATGATGTGACTTTATTAGAATAATAGCAATTTTGGTCAGATTCTGGTATCACTAGATAACACTAGATATTTTCTGTATATTGCCGCCACCACAACACAGCTGCGGCTACTATGACGACTCGCGGGACGACAAGTGCGACGACTGCTGCAAACCACATTCACCAGCACTTCCGCTATGATTTTTGAATGCCCCCTAAACCCTAAAGCCTAAACCGTTAGCAGATGGAGTATTGTCTAACGGCCACTTTGACCCAGGTCCATGTTTCTGTGGCGACAGGAATCAGTGTAGCCCGAAAAATTGCAACAATGCTGCCGCAAACCCGAAACTCTGCTAAACCCTAAACATGCTAACACCCTACCACCCAAAACCCCAAAACCTTCAAATCCTGCCCAAATCATCCTGAAGCCCTAAACCTCAAACCCCACCAGCCTGACAAAGCACATAGGCCCCTCAGACTCAGGCTGTGAATAACCCGAGCAAGGGCTTGCCAAGACCTCTGCTGGGGTCTTAAGGGTTTTAGAGTAAGGAGTTGCTGGTTCAGGATTCGGGGTAAGTAGGTCTCAGGTGAAAGGATCATGTTAGGATGAAGGGTGTCGCTCCTAGCTCTGAGATTGGAGGGTAAGGCTCCCGTTGTCGAGGGCTCCTGTTCGTGCATGTGGCTCCGCTCGAGGTTGCAGAAGTTTGGACAGAAATGCCTCGCACACTCTCAGTCCGCTCTGCGCCCTAAGACCACAGACTACCAGTAGCCAGTACCTTCGCGCTTGCAGTCTGTGGTGGGAGACTGAGAACCTGGCCGGCGCGGAAACCATCTGGGAAGGGAATGCTCCCGGTGCGGCCATCATCACGGCTGCTGCTTAACAGACTTGTCTGGTGCACCAACTTTGCTGCATGAAACCGGTCGGGCTTTCGAGTCCGGGGTTCAGATAAGTCGCACTTACTTGGGAAAAACCGTCGTTGTGGCAGCCCACTTGGTTGCGCTTCTGAGCGATGGCACGTAAGCCACCTAGGCTCTGTGTCTCCCACAGCTAATCTGCTGGCCGGCGGACAGGTCAAGTTTAGTCCAATTCGAAGAAGCATGGACAGGCAAACAAGACCAAATGTCAAAAGGGCAGTGGCTGAGTACCATCGCAGGTAGAAGAACTACAAGCTTTCGATGCAATCAGTTGCAATCCGAACTACTGACAGTATCTGACTATGACTGGGGTACGCAGAGCTATGGAGCCGTAAACCCGTGAATTCCAAAACCCCTGGAGCAAAGTCCCATGGTATACTATACCATACTAGACTCTACTATACTAGAATGGACTAGACGATACCATACTAGACTGTACTAGTACATATACTATACTAAACTATTACAATGTCCTGATCGCATCGTGGAAGGGGGTGTGGGCGGCCCAATTCTTGGCGAAGCATTCCTCGCAGCTCTGATGAAAGAACCACTCCAAGGGATTAGGTTTGAGGGTTTAAGGAATACACCAAACTTTCGGTTTTGCGCCTCGGGCTTAGGGCTGTGGCTCGGATTAAAGGTCGAGGAATTGGGGCTTGGGTTCAGGTTGAACGATTCTAAAGGTTTGCGATATCACAACCCAGAAATAGGGTTTCGCGTTTCGGGTTTAGGGTGAAGGATCTGGGACTATGGGATTTAGGGATCCCAACCAAGCACCGCACTTCGCTCATGCAGCACATCTGGAAATCTTCATAACCCTAAACCCTGTATCTACCGGACATGCGCGCCTGGCTGCAGAAGAACGACGTTTGCCCCAGCCTAGGTCACTCAGCAACTTGCCATCATCATTCATTGGTTCCAAGTCCAAAATCACACTAGCGTTACGTTCAACAGTGCTGACAGATTGCGAACATGGTTGATTGCATGTCAATCCTCTTGGTGGTCGTAGCATGTGCAAGCACGGCATAGCACAGCACTCCAACATACCTAAGTGAAAATCATAGTTTCTAAGGCCTGGGCTCTTTGCAAGTTGGGCAGCACAGGCGATTCTCGGACTCGCGTCCGCAGCCCTGGAAACAGGGAGCTATGCGTAGAAAGTGTGTTCAGTTGATCTCGGAAGAAGGCCTGGCCTGGCACGCCATGCCCCGTGTTCGTGTCAAGAAGGCCCTCGACACTCCCCCATTGGAAAGGGGCGCGAATCCATCTTCTGCAACCGGGAGCTACGTTTTGATGTGTTTGCTGTTTGGCTTTGCTGCAAGCGAGTTCGGGCAGTGCTTCGTAAGCAAGCATGCCTTCCTGTCGACGTCGTCACTTCATGACTCATGATAGTCGCTAACTCATGGACCGCAAGGCACTGAATTTGCACTCGGCAGGCGACACGGCAATGTGAAGCAAAGCTCTCAACCTATGCCACGCCGCGATGCCGAAACACGACACATGCAAACCACTAACCACGATCACGGAAAGGCACAGTGGGTCCGCAAGCGTCAAACTGAAACAAGATTTCTAACAAACCACTCGGCGTTTATTGACCCTCGGTTGAACCTGACACAACTGAATGTACCTGCAACGTTATCCCTGCGATCCCGAAAATCATGTTTTGAACCCTCAGAATACGTAATTAAGTGACGCTCTATCGCGTGCACATGCTTCTATTTTCCTTGCACATTCTAAGTCCGGTGATGGCAGTCAGAGGAATCGCGAAACCTGGGCCACAAGTTTTCTTTAAGCTGCCGTGAACCATGTCAGGATCTGCACACACACACACACAGCTTGCTTCGAAAAACAAGATGTCAAGTCCAATCGGCAATGCAGTTGCAATCCTGAGTTGTGGGGTGTTGGGAAACACCATTGGGGGGGGAGTTCAAGGTAAAGGCACCAATGTGCCACCAAAATTTGTATGCGTGAAGAACTTGTCCACCACTTGTCCCTCCACCTCATGTCTCAAACTCTGTTGCGACGTGTACGATACTCGCAATGCGTATGACGATGCCAACATGGCAAAGTCAGCCTTGTTCAAAACGGTTGAGAAGGCCCCGTGCTAAAGACATTGGACAAGAGATCACCATAGCCGCAAAGTTATGGAAGCCTCTGTTGACCAAAATCTTACCGTTGAACATTGCGGTGGAGGCAGAGGAACTAGTGCCCAAGTTTTGGGCATTGTTCGGGGTAACGATCTCAGGTCGGAGGTTGGGGTATGGCTGTTTAGACTATGGAAGAAGTTGGGGGGGCACACATGATGCAACTATCGGCGAAGAAGCCTTAAACCCGAAACTCGCAACCTCAAACATCCAGACGGCAAATCTCTGATCCGAACCCCGAAACTTGAAACCCTGCGCCTTAAGTTTCGGCATCAAGGTTTGGAACTTAACTTTCCATCTAGTCTGGGGGCACAGGGCCATTCAATCCGCCCAAACTCCCGCACCGAAAACTGCAAGCTTCGAGAATTCAAGCTGCAAGGCCAAGCGCATGCCAAACTTAAACGCTTTGAGCTGTAAAATAAACACAAAACATGCCGACGTGCAGTGCAAGCGGTCTACGGATCGCCCACAAAGTTAAAGTTACAATGCACTGGTCTTGAAACCTACATACCGAACTACGACGAACAATGCTTCATGGAACGGTCAATGTAACGCCAACCACTACAAGAAAAGAACGAAGTCTGTATTGTCATGTCTCGCAAACAGAAATAGCCAAAAATGCCTGCACAATTTCTTGTGGCTCTCATGCACAAGCCAGCCAGCTTTCGAAACCCCGACATATAGCACCCGAAGGCACTCGCACTGAAGCCAATGGTTTATATAACGGTTTCCAAGCACTCTGGCCTTGCTGAAAACCATGGCTTGTTGCAAGACATTGGCCGGGGACCCCAAGATTACAAAGTTCGTCCCACTGCTGCCTGAAAGCTGCTAAGCTTGAGCGCTGCAGCTGCTGGGACTGGCAAAATCAGGAACACGAAGCTTCGCCAGATGTGCGATGCATCTGATGAGTCGCACCTCGCGCACACCAAACTTGTAGTATAGACACTGGCACCGTTCAATCATGACAACTTGCTGCAACGCAAGCCTTTTCCAAACAGCACGTGCTTGCGTGTGCTGGTCCACTTTCCCGGAGAAGCCACGACCTTGTAGGACGACCTGGCAAGTAGTCTGACGGTCTCGTTTCCAACTGCATCGGTCTTGATTCAGAAACTGTTTCAGAAACCTGTTGGTTCCTGCACGAAATCCTAGCATGAATTGCGAACCATGGCCAGGTTTATTTTTGCCGCTTAAAGGATCCCTTCACCCAAAACTGATCTGCGACCGGCTTTGCACAGACCCTGTAGGCCTCGAGGCCCGAGCACCAGGCTCTCAGCCCGAACTTTTCAATTCTGAACCCCAAGCTCTAACAAAACTACACCATAGGGGTTCTACTAAACCTAAAACCCTAAACCCTTGATCTGTAAGCGTGGAATCATAAAGTTCTAAAACCCTTGAACACAAATGCGGGGTCGGGCTTCAAGCTGCTTAGGGTTTACGGAGGGATTGTTTGAGGGCCGTTTTGGTGTCCTCTACAGCATGTCCACTACAGCACCCCAACCCCTTTGTGTAGGCACTGGCGGCAGCTGTCAGTCCCCCCGTTTACGAGGGATTAGGGTTTAAGGTTTAGCCATACCGAAACGATTGCTTTTTCGAAAGTTTTCAAAAGATGCCCACCATGCTGCAGTCCGTGAAACACCGATCGGGTCTTGAAGCCATCGGGTCTTGGAGCCACACCGTGAACGATACTGCTGCATGTTCCCATCTACGGTACTGAGTATTGCGCGGGCGCTCCCTGGATATTGGCCCTTCGGTTACCGAATTGCTTCAAGCTCTATTGACTTGTGCTGGTGGCTGTTCGGAAATCTTAGTTCCCCACTCAATCGTAGTTACCAGCCTCGAGCTCCGAGGCTTTTTGCTCGGCCAGCGCCTCGGCGAATGACTTACGCACAGTCTTGGCAATTACTAAGCTGTTCGATCGGTTGTCCAAAGAGCAATTACGAGTCACAAAGTGCCACGAACAAGTGAAGTGATGACAGCTGGAGCAAATAAGATTTAGAATCCTGCATACGGCTGAAGAAGATAATGCCGAAACATGTAGATTGCCACTGACATGAACAGCCGAATGACAGCACAAATTACAACAAACCAACGAACCATTCATCAGCCCTTCCACGTTGGGCCTGCTGCCATGCAAACCTGAACGGTCGCATGGAAGGAGTACAAATGCACGAAAACAAATACCTCGAAATGAAGGCACAGGAGAGTCTCAGGAGAGACAGACCGACCGACCGACCGGCTAGCGGATTCAAGACGGACCGACCTGTGGACGGACAGACAAATACGCAAACAAAAAAACTGAAAGACAAACAACAGAACAGCCCTTCGCACAAGCCCTGACCCGAGCTCACGGCCACCACCCACTGTGGAATGGTGTCACGGTATAGCACCCTCAGACTGTGCCAATGAAAGTCTTTGAACAGAAAAGCCCGAATCGGTCTCTCATCTGGCACATGTCAAAGCTGGGCTTTGGGCGTTGTGTATTGAGCCATCCATTCGTACGCCGCCTCTGGATCAGTCTTTCAGGATTGGTCGGCACACTGCTGCGGACACACCCGCGTAAGAAGCACTCGGAAAGACCTCGGCTTCGTCCTCTTCGGTCGGCATTTCGTCGAGGTTCCAGTCCTCTGGACAATCTATGTGCAGAGCGCGGACAGCAAAGCGTGTGTGTGTTTCGTTATTTGCCTGACTTACCTCCCTACTCTAATGTGGCAGATCCAGTTCAAACGCAGCTTGTGCCATGGGCCATGGGTGCCGATTTGGGTGCAGCAATGCTGAAGAGTTGCTGGGCCTCGAGAAACCTCCAGGGCACAAC